ATAAAATTATGTATGATAAAGTTTTTCTAAACTCTTTATCATGGAACATTTTTAAATATACCCGAAAGTCGAGACAGTGTGAACGCCTGTGTACATGTCACTCAGCTCCGCAGTTATAAACTCATGACCACTGTTCGGTCTCTCCCGCTACCCCTTCTATCTCGCCTCCCATTCACCTTCTCCCTCCACCAAAAATCGAATTATTTTTGAATTCAGATATCATATCACTTTGCTGTATCAGCATGTACTTCTAAGAGGACTCTTAAAAAAGGTATTTTCACATCTAAACATTTAACAATAATCTTAATATCAAATATCTAGTCAGTGTTTAAATTTTGCCAATTGTCTCAATTTTCAAATAATTTGTTCAATGTTGAAACCACAGTGTTGTTTCTATGAAACCATCATAAGACTGTATATCAATGATATTGTAATTTAAAAAAAGGAAAAAAGTAATAATTTGTTCAAGTTGAGAAAAAAGATTTAAAAACAGCAACTGGTTGATACTTTTTTTTTATTCTATAGATTCTCATTCATCCCTATTTCCCGTCTCCTCTTTCTTACAATGTAGTTGTTGACGGAACACGTTCACTTGCCTGTACAGTTCCGTATTAGCTCCCTGCACCTCTGTGATGGTAGCGCACTCCTCTGTCCCCAGCATTGCCTGTAAGTCAGCAAATGGATCTGGAAGCCTGATTATACTCCAGCACAAATCCTTCCCAGGTGATGCTGTGTACTTTCATGAGGAGTCGCATATGTTTGTTTCTCTTTCTGTGAGGTGACCAACCAGTGATGACCAATGACTAAATCAGTGGTTCTCAACAGGAGCAGTTTTTGCCCTGTTGAGTGTTTTGCTCTGTTGAGTACCCCCCAGAGGGACATTAGAGTGTCTGGAACAACTCGGGGAAAAGTACTGCTACTGGATCTAGTGGACAGAGGTCAGGGATGCTACTCAGTGACTCACACTGCAGAAGACAGTCCCCAACGATGATGTGGCCCAAAATGTGAATAGCACCAAGTTTAGAAACCCTGACCTAGATCCATAAAATCAGCAATTGCTGCAAAACCTTCTAATCTTCTAAATATATCACGTCTTCTCTATTTAACAGATGGAATGTTTCTGTAAAGAGAAGCCTCCCTCAACAACTATGTAGTTGGTATAAAAGACTGGATAAATGCTTGACTCCTTCGTCCTACCTCGCAGCTTTCTAAATGAGTTTTCCCTTATGTCCGTTGCAGATAACCAATGAAGTTTCTGTTTTAGTATTATTATGAATTCACGAACTTAAACATGTTTGAAATGTTTGGTCCACTGAGTAATTGTTATTGATGCTACAATCATCCTATCTTTGGCCAGTGGAAGCCTCTTCGTATCAGCTCCAAAGTTCTTTTGTCACTTTACCAATCATCTTAGGTAGTTTCATTGCTCTCTGATATTGATAAAATTGTTCCATTCAGTGGGAAATAGCAACTCTTTGCTACCATCTTTTTCTATTTTTATGAACACTATCAAACTTCCCTTTCAACCTTGTAGATTATTAGCCTTCAGGCAATGAATTACTATTAAGCATAATTTGTTTTTATTAAGTACTCATTGAACCCATGCATTATACTTCCATTCGACTCACAAAGAAATAACTATGTAGTGTTAACATAATTAACAAAATTTTACACAATAAATAATAAACAAAGTTCCTTTTTACCCTATGGTGAGTACACTGCTCACTCTAGTATGATGAATCATTATTTATGCACTGAAGGAATTGATCTTATTCAATCTGAAAATGTCATAATTTAGGATGCACTGAGTAAAGTAACTCAATCTTAATTAATCTCTAATGGAGAAGTGGTTATCCAAGACAGGTTTATTCAATGAGGGAATATTCCACTGGAAAACCATTCAGAGAAATGTTTTTTGTTGTTAAAAAAGCTAAAACTTCTAACAGACTATTCTAGAAGAAATGTTTCAACTTTCTATGCAGCAACATTAGTGGGGGTCACAGATCAGAGATCACATGAATTTAAAGACCTTATGCTTCTGGAGTAGGTAAATTTTCTATTTGAACATGGTATATAAATACCAAACATATCAACCCAATTCATAGAAATATTTAGCACAGAGACAGGCATGCAGTAAATTCTCAGTGTTAAGTACAAAGAGTTTACATACTTCCTTCACCTCCTTGAAAATGCTCACAAATTCTTCATTGATGGCTAAACTTCTGCGTTCAATATCTCCACGTAAATTTCTTCGAGTCCGCAAACTATTTTCAACAAAAAAGGTTGAAAGTGCCTTGAGAGCTTCCAACATCTCCTGCACAATTGAGAACAGAAGAAAATTATTGGGATCAATTTTCGCATAATCTCAAGCCTAAATTTATTGAAATCATTCTCAAATGATTTGTTTCCAACGAACAATCAAAAAAAATTCTGGATAACGTTCACATTACTGAGCAGTAAACTTACTTCTGAAACACAGAATATACTTACTTGTGTACTGTGGCATATATACTAGGTCATTCATTGCAGAATAGTTTGGAATGGTATAGACTGGAAATAACCTTAAAGTCCATCTAAAAGGAATTGGTTAAAGAAATGATATATCTGTTTTTGAAAAGGTGAAAATTCTCTATGTACTTACATAATATGAACTTTAAGATACAGTAAGTGAAAGAGCAAGGTATAGGAACAGTTATACCAACAAGTATTAAAAATAAAGAGGACTTCGTACATGCGTATTTACTGGCTAAAGCATGAACTACCTCTGGGAGGATGCATGTAAGAAGTAAGTACCACACGCAGCCTTCAGGCTAGGGGCAGAGTGAGTGGGAGCGGCGCTTACAGGAAGGCCTCTCTCTAAGGGGAATTCTGAACTGAGGCCTGAGGGGTAGGAAAGAGGCATCCCTGGACGCAAAGCCTTTCACAGGCAGAAGAAACACAGTAACCAGACCCAAAAGAAGCAGGAAGGCCAGGGTGATTGAAGCTGTAGGAACCACAGGAGGTTTTAAGTAAGTAGTAATGTCCTGTGCTTTTTACATTCAAAAGGTTATCCTGACTTCGTGAGAATGGATAGTAGGTGGGAACAAGAAAGGAAGCCAGCAGGTAGTAAGAAACTAAAATAACCAAACAAGGCTTGATAGTGATTTAGACCAAGACAGTTCTAGGTCAGATGAAAAGGAGAGGAGGTATTCCAAAAAAAGGTAGGGTCTATATAGGACTTACTAATAGACTGAATGTGAGATGAGAAAAAAAATGAAAGGCATCAAAAATTTAGACACTTCCTGCTTGAGTGGGTAACGGTGATGTTCTTTACTATCAGAAAGCAAAAGTTTTGGACACTGAGTTTTTATGATGTAGACCAGGTATATCCAGTGAAGGTGTCACCTAGACAACAGGAGCCCAGCGGAGATGTCAGGAAGAGGCTGATACATCTGCAAATCATCACGCTTTTTGCTACTTAAGACCACGAAAGTAACAAGACTTCTCCTACAGAGAGAATATGGAGAGAGCACAGGGGCCTAAACCCAGGATACCCCATGGTACCCGAAATCCTACAAGTTCCTACACCTCAACTAAAAAATAAATTCTAACGGGCTTACCTTTCCATGTTTCTCTTACAATGTTATTTTGAAATATGGGCTGGGCTGACAGAAACGGGTAAAGCTTTTCAGTATGTAAGAGAGAGCAAACATATCTCTACAACTACAAATATTTATTGTATAAAATAAAATATAAAATAAAACAAGGCCATTTCTTTGGCTGTAGACACTGGCTCAAAGTAGAAGTCAGTAAATGCTGAAGGAACAGTCTCCGGTGCAAGTCACAGCTCCACCAGTCGCTAGTCAGATGTCTTAATCTAATTACACTTCTCCGCGCACCTTATTCTTCTCACGGGTAAAAAGGAGACAGCGGTATCTACATCAGAGTAACTGTATTAAGTGAGATAATGAATGCCGGTGTCGGACACATTAAACAATAAATTGCACGGTGAAACTGACATGTAATAAGGGTCTGTGAGTGCCGGGCACTGTGCTGAGAACGGAGATGGACTCCTGAACCCTCCCCACCGCGGGCAGTGTTCCCAGTTCCGAAGTGATGCGGCGCAGGCGCCGAGCGGTTAGGGGCGTACGCAGAGCGCCGTCAACTTGGTGGTTCTACCTAAGAAGCCTGTCGTTCTGACTTACTACAATTTTTTACGCACAAATCCTTCTTGGCGGCCTATTTTCTGTTACCTGCAGATTCGCCTATAAAATCCTCTCCCTTCTACATGCATTTCTAACGGTACGCTGGCATGACCCATCTACCTAGCGACTCAACGGTGCAGAGAAGGTGCTAGACAGGAGCTGGGCGCGCAGGGCCCGCACATCGCAGACACCTGCCAACACCGGCGGCGACAGCTTCGTGGCGGCCCGAGCGGGCGGCGCTTGCTTCGCCCTTTTCCCCCGGTGGAGCTGCTCGTCCGCCTCGCCCTCCGGCCCGGGCTCCCCGCGGGCACGGGCTCCGCCGCCCGGTCCCAGACCCGGGGCCTCCGAGGGGCAGGTGCTTTCCGCGGAGGGGCCTCCGCTTCTCGCGCGCCCCGGCCGGGCGACGAGTCCCTGCGCGCGGGGACGAGGGACGAGGGGCGAGAGAGCGGGCGCCGACCGACGCGCCGCCCGTGGCCGGTACCTTGTCGTTGTCCAGCCGCGTCTCCAGGATCTTACGCAACTTCCGCGACAGCGGGTTGCTGGTCGGCGCCGCAGTCCCGCCGGCCCCAGGGCCGAGGCCGTTGGCGGCCCCGGCTGCGGGAACAGCGGCCACCTCCCCGCCAGCCTCCGCCATCTCGCCGCGCGACACGCCCCCCGCCACGATCCGGGCCGGCAGCGCCGCAACTGCGCCTGTGCGCCGCGTGCAGCGCATGCGCTCGGGCACCGGAAGACGAGGACCTGCCGCCCCCGCCCGCGGGAGGAAGCGCGGTGGTGCTGCCGTTCTCGGGAGGCGGGGCCGGGAGGAAGAGACTCACGCGAGACTTGCCCCCAGCGGGGTCCGGTCGGCCGGCGCGGGGCGAGTTCAAGTTCACCGAGTTACGGTGGGGAGGCGGGTAAGGGGCGCAGGAGTTCCGGCCACGACAAAAGACCGCCTCGGGGATAGCGGCTCGTCGTGGAGACGTGTCAGTGATTCTGCAACATTAAAAATATTGCAGAGTTTATAAAATGTCCATATTTGCTCATTCTAAGTGATGTAAACAGTGTCAGGCTATAGTTTCGGATATTTTTTCCTTTTTTAATAGAGAAATGTCACCATATCTAAAAATAAGAAAGGGCGGAACCAGTCCCGGTGGGGGACAGGCAGACGCAGAGGCCGAAGGCGCGGGGCCCTTCCGGGGGCGGGGCCGAGAGTAAGCGACACGACGGGACTAGAGGTAGGTTCCCAGAACGTCTGCGTCACAAACGTTATTGTTTCTTTTCTCAGTATCAAAATCTTCCAGCAGAATGAAATGTCTGAACCCCTTGCAAAGTATTTTTCTGACACCAACCACTTTGACTTTTGTCCTTAGTGTGCCTTACGCCCTATCTGTCCAAGAAAGCTGTGACCAGCACCCCTTGGCCAGTGGAAGTAAGGGGTCTCAATAACAGAAAAAACACCATTAAGACACAACATGCGGGCACGAAGTCAGTAAGAGATATGCAGGACTTGGATACATGTGCTCTTCAACAGGAAGACTCAATATTGTAGAGATACTGTTCCTCTTGAATGTATAAGTTCAAATTCAAGGACCAAAATTAACATATCAAAGGTATGCCATAATTGTGCAGATACACGTAAATAAATTTTAACTAAAACAGCGTCTTGTAGCGTTTACAAATATGCACAATCAGAATAAATGACAATGATAGTGGCCAAAGGGCGGGGAGTCCCAAAAGATTACACATTCTATCATTTCATTTTTATGAAATCTCCAGAATAGGTGAATTTTTACAGAGACCAAAAGTAGACCAGTGATTCTGGTGGAGAGGTTACTGAGAGGACCAATTGGGAAGTGACATCTCATAGGCACAGGTTTGTTTTGGGGGTGATGAAAAGATTCCAAATCTAGATTACGGTGACGTTTACATAGCTCTGTGAATATACTGAAAACCACCGAACTGTCTGCTTTAAAGGGTGCAATTATATGGCATGTGATTTATATCTCAAAGTTGCTTTTTTTAAAAAGGGAGAGGTAAATAGACAAAGCTTTAAAGTGATAAGAAAACACTAACGTGCTAAGTTTTTTAAAACTTAATTGAGGTCCAATTTAGAGAATTGTGCAAACAACACTATAATCTAATTTCAGGGCATTTTCACCATTCCAAAAAGCAAGCTTGCGCCCAGCAGCAGCCATGCCCAGTTCCCATCCCTCTGTGGCCTTCTCAGACACAGGATGCCTCCACAGCACCACTGCCAGTGCTGTTTGGAGACGGTGTTGCTTAAAACTTGACTTCCTGATGAACTCTCCACTGCCTATGGCTTTGTGTCACTTTCCCTCTTTCCAAAGCCTAGGTTGGATGCTTCCCCTTGGCAGGGCTTAGGTAACGGATTGGTGCCTATTGCCAGGGAAGCTGAGAAAGCGGACGATTACTTGAAAATATAAAGAATTGATTCAAATACTATGCAATGCCCATTCCCATACATACATACATAAATCCCTCCATCCACCAGTCTCTTCCCTTTAGTCAGGCAATATGAGCATGTACTCCTCTCATACTTAGCTTAAAAAGAATGTCTTTGCATAATATAATTCAGTTTATTTACCACATAACCAAAACCTCACTTACCTTATCCCTTAAGGAACAACCTAAAATTTAATGTTTTTCTGCTCTGTTCAAAGTCAGATCTTTCTCTAGTTTTTTCTAATTCTTTCCCCAATACCATGTAACATATGGACTGAATTGTAATGTAACCACCAAAAACCCCTCCTGTGTAAAGTAGTTGTTCAAGAAAGAAGACAGACTAGGAAGCAGGGTTACATAGCGTAACTTTCTTTCTGCAAGTGTCACAGAGCTGTTTTTGGAATGTATGACTTCTATCCTTTCCATGACCCCTTTGCCTGCAGCCAACACGTAGCTGCCCCAAGGTCTCTCTGGTGAAGTGCCCCAAGTGTCCTGCGGAATGAGCCTGTGCCTTTGATGGTCTGGCTGTACTTTCCTTTTAGTTTTGCTCCAGGGTGTGGGAGGCCTAGGAAGCAGACAGGCGACTCTCTAGGCTGTGTCCTTAGTCCTTCTGCCTGTGTGTATACCAGAAATCCCCTTCCTGGTCAGGATCGGTCACTTGCACAGCCACCTAGCCCCCTTGTCTGTCTGCTCAGGGCCACCAGGAATCACATCGTCCAAGGCAAGGTGACCCTTTGCTACTCCTGGTACAGGTTCTCTTTCCTGGGGCCCTAATCACAACACCTAAGCTCTGCAGTAACAGGCACCTATACTTATATTTTCAGAAGGCAGAAGTTTAAGCAACAGAGAATTCCAGAGGCAGCCGCAGTGGCCGTGGCGCCAGACTTCTGGAGACGAGAGTTCTCCACGTGTATGAGACAGTGAGAGGAGCCTTCCTCACCCTGCCCCCACCCTTTGTTCCTAGATCATAGACTCTGGCTGTGCTAGAAATGGGACAAATGCTGATCTTTCAGGATTCAGAGAATAGCATGCAGCCTAAGCTTAGGAGGAGCCATCTCTGGTTGCTGGAGCCATGAGGCATGAATAGCTTCTGTCCCTGTTTTGTATGCTGCTTCATAGCAGAATGCTTCTTTCCATAGATATTACATTCTTCATTCACTGTAAAGCGATTTTTTAGGGAAGAAGCAATGTTGCACGCAAAATTAGGTGGTAAATAAAGCATTTGGTAAGCCAGTGGGTGGTAGAAAAAGAAGGCAAATTCAGATATGATGTCAGTTCACTTGAACAAAATATCTCTGTCCAATGAGGAATGAGACCTAATTATTCAGTGGCTGCTAGTCTCCCTGGGGTGTGTTAATATACTGGAGACTCAGGTTTGGCTGCAGCAGGCGTAAGGAAATCCATGTTTCTGAGTGTATGTTCTTGTCTCCATTTTATTTTGTTTTTGGGCCCAAATGAGCAAACATGGGGGTGGTTAGGAAGGAGGATGCCCGATGCTCACAGAGCTGGTTGTTCTGTTCATCTGATCATGGGGAACCACGTGGTCATTAATAGACCGGTTATTCCAGAGCGACCCTGGGTGGAAACCCGATGAATGGCTTACTCGTTGCCTGTCGGAGGCTGCTCAAGTCCCGTCCCTGAATGTGAGCTGGTTTTACTGTCTGCAGCACCAGTCATCCCACACGGCAGATACTAGACGTCCCCATCTTCCCCTTGAGGATTCGTTGCTACCAGACCAGAGAATCTCTGAAAAACTGGAGCAACAAGCCCAGGAAATAGACAGAAACAGAGGGCAGCCATGTTGCCAGACTGTGGTCAGAAGTGCTCCCCAGGGTCAGTCAGCTGAGGACGTCCCTGGCCGCCGAGCCGAACCCCGCGTCCTTTAGCTGATTCTGTACCTCGCACTGGCCACTGGCCATATTGGCACAAAACCACTTCCAGGGAAAATCCCCCTGGCGCCAGTTTCATGGTGTCCCTGGATCACGTTTCTGTGTTTGCTGGTTAGTTGGACCTGAACCGCATACCCGTGCTCTAGGTTTTTAGAAAAGCTGAGAACTTGAGTGTGAAATTTTTCACTTTCATTTGTGGTTAAATCGATTTCTCTGTGCTGTCTGCTGGTATTTCTCTCAGGGGCTTTAACGGAAAGGCCCCACGTCTCCCATCTGTCTTAGTCACAGCTTCCTGAGCCCTTGTCACTCTCTCCTGTTATTTGCCTTTACTGCTCATTCTTCAGTCTGTAGGCATGGAAGCCTCTCCCATTGGAACAGACCCCGATTTCTCTTTTTCGGATACCTCGTGAATCGTGAAACCAACCCAAATTTCTCATTTTCTTTTTTGATGAGGCATATTTTCTGCAAATCGTTCTCATCCTTCAGTTTGTCCTTAAAATTCTCCAATTTGAAGGTTTTAGACTAGAAAACTTAGCAATCATGAATGTAATGACTTCAAGCCTTCTTCGAATGCAGCAGGCAGAACACATGATGCGGGGCCGACTGGCTGAAGCGACGGTCAGTCTCTTACTCTTTCTCCAGTACGTGGAACCCAAAGTCTGTGTGCATCTCTCCTTCGCTGCCCGTGTCAGAGTTTTGGAGTCGCAAAGCAACAGACAGGGTGATTGACTGGAAGGGTCTGAAGGCACTGACAGGGCTGAAGGGAAGGCTAAAGACCCACCTGGGGACCAGCAGCGATAGAGGATTTCAGGAGCTGCAACACTTGGTGGTGGTGAGGACTTTCCCACGGGCACTTTTTTCTGCGTTTGCTTGACATTCAAAGTCTTGGAGGGAGTCTACTTTTGCCACATCCCCACCCACTGGTCAGGACACCAGGATTTATGATCCCCTGCTGACAGCACACAGCACCAGAGAGGTGATTCTGGTCAACATAATAACTATAAATTGTGGTCTGTGAGACAGATAAGGAAGTAATCTATACAAGAAAGGTGCAAAATCTGGCTAGTAGAGATAGTAGAGAGATTAGTGACACCATCAGCACACAGAACTACTGGGGCTGTTCCACAGATTTCAGTTAATTTTGAGCAGACAGCAGAGATTAATTGCAACTGGGTGAGGTGGGCACAAGGTGCCATGCATCCAAATTAGGCAACTATATTTATGGAGTAGAAGTAAGAGCTGTGTCTGAAGTTGTAGTCAAAATAAAATGGCTAAGAAGAAGCCAGATGATATTGTCTGCAAAAAAATGTAAGGACTTGAACAGCCTCCTCTCTCTATGAACCAGCTTGGGGTATTAACAGACAGCTCAAGGGCAATTATTCTGTGAATTGCCCCTAGATTCCAGGTCCCTATCCATAACCACTAGCCATCGCTTGAAATTTTTTGAGTGAAGAAAGATGTGATAATGACTCTAGGAAGGAATAAAACGCAGCTGAGAGAAAATAATGATAAAGTCAAATCCTCGGAATCAATCAATTTATACATTTTGGAATGATGTGGGCAAATCCAGGTGACCACGGGTGCAGAAAAAAAAATGAAAAAGAAAATGGGAAATTAGAACAATATAAAATCATCTGAAAAATGTATGTTGCCTTTTAAAATATGACGAAGTCACAATTTATAGGGTTCGTATTGTGATTTTAATTTATTTAAATGCAACATTTCCTGGTAAAATTTTAACAGTATAAGTTTAAATAAGTCAGCTTTATGGATTTATTTAGACTTATGTATTGATTTGAGCCAGAGGTGGCCGCCAACTCTGCAGGCTCCCTGGAACGTCGCAGAGAGCAGCTTCCTGAAAACCCACAAACGGGGGGCTCCCTCGATCCCTCAGCACCGCGGGGCACCCAGCTGCATGTGAGAGGTGCCGTGTGACCCTGAAATGTGGGCTGTGAGGAGCCAGCATCAGTCCACAGAGTAAATTTTAGTCATGCTTAGTTTCTTCTATTTCGAAGATTAAATATTAGAACTAGATGGAGTATTGACATCTTCTCACAGCCCGGCACCTTCTCTTACACACCTCCCGGGGTTTGTGCCCCACTTTGGAGACTACTAGGGTAGAGAATAAAGTCCATAGAGCTGTCCCTGGCCTCCAGGTACTCTGTCATTTGATGCCAGACCCTCTGAGACGAGATCCCTGCAGCTCACTGCAGCCCTACGTTTGTTGTATGCTGCCCCCCAAGCACCCCGGGCCTGTGTTTGCAAACGTGCCCCAGGGTGCACCCGGCCCCCACCCCTGCCCACCGGGAATGCTCTCCCCACTTGATCCCTGAGTCTCCACCCAGGCTTCTCCCTCTTGAAACTTCCGCCATCTGGGCACAGTCCCTTGTCCCTTCATCTGAACCATGTGCTGTAGAACTGAAAGGTCTTCTGCTGCCCGATTCATGAATCA